CGTGTCTCCTGCCGGTGATTTTTTATACGTTTTGTCGACGTCAAAGGTGAGTGAATATTAATAATAATAATAATAAGGATAACGATAACCCATAAAATCTTTTTTTTAGTTACGATATTTTTAATAATACTAATTATTAAAATCAATTATTATTATTAATATGCGATAAATTAAATCCAACTCAATACTCCCTCCCCCACCCCCCCTTTAATGATTTATTTCATTCGTGAGGACGTAGTGCAAAGAGGAAAGTGTAGGGGAGTAGGGGAGTGCAAAAAAGAAAAAAAAAGAAAATTTGAATGATTTATTATTATTATTATTATTAAAAATTAATTTAAATTAAATGTAGTCGATGGGTAAAAAAAAATTTTTTTTTAGTTTTATTGTGGGGGGTGGTAGAGGGTGGGAGAGGGGCAGGAAAGGGGTGGTGACCGAGTCTTTACTACGCATTTCCTTACAAGGGTAGAAATTTTTTTTTTTTTTATTGTTTTCGATTGTAAACGCATTTCTTTGAATGTAAAAGTCTTGGAAAAGTCACGATACTACCTAAGCAATTGGAAAATCGTCGGAAAATTTCATTAATTAATTTAAATCTGACTGTTTTGGTGGGTACAGAAACAATAATAAAGAACCGGGGGTGGGGTGTGGGGAGGGGGAAAAATTGAAGTGAAAATGTGTGAAATAAATTTTAAAATATATAAAAAAAATATTTCAAGACAATTTTTTTTTTTTTATTTTCTAATCCATTACTTCGACAAATTTAAAACCACTTGTTGAACTTTTTTTTGCGACTCCCAAACTTTTTTTTTTTATTATATTTTTCTTTTATGCATGTATGTATATTTATTATTTTTTTTTTAAACCGAAGCCATTTTTTTGTAGTTTGACTGAGGTTTATGCATCCTGAAAAGTCAGAAAATGTTATTATATTTTTCTAACAAAAGCGAAAAAAACGTTTTTTTTTTTTTTTTTTTTTTTTTATGACGTTTTAGGTTATGGTAAATTTCTATGTTGATGTTATTATTATTATTAATCAATAAAAAAAAAAAATTTTTTTATGCTTTAAAAATAAATTTTTTTATTATCACCGCACCGCAAATGATTTTCCGATGCATGAACAAAGTAATTTTTTTTTTTTTTTTTAACTGGAGAAGTTTTAATTTTAATTTTTTTTTTTTAATTAAAAACAAATTTTTTTTTTTTAAAAAAAAAGTTTGCTGCATAACATTCGGTTAAAAATAATTTTTTATTACCGAAAAAAAAAAAAAAATTATTACAATAATGGAATTTTGTTTTTTTGAACATTAAAATTCACGTCTTAAAAAAACATGTTTTAAACAAATTTTTTTTTAATATTTATTATATTTAAAAATTATTGTTTCATAATCATTTGTTTTTTAACATGTTTTTATATTTAACCATACAATATAAAGTTATTGTAAAAAAAATATTAATTATAATAATAATAAACTTAAACGTTTATAAAAAAAAAAAACTTTTTAAAAAGCATTTTAAATAAAAAGGAGAAAAAAGAGAGAGAATGAGGGTGAGGGTGAGGGAAGGGGAAAAATCTGGTAAAAACGAAATTTAATAATATTCGTTTTCACGGTTTGTTAACTAATAATAATGAGTTCAAATTCCTTTTTTTTTTTTTTTATATATATACATAAAAGCATAAACTTCATGTCAATTTTTTTTTCTCTTTTTTTTTCCAGATTACAAAATTAAAAATTGAACATTGCGGAAGTTACGGTAATTGTTCGGCTTGTTTGGATGCTAGAGATCCATATTGCGGTTGGTGTTCTTTAGAAAAACGGTAAGAATAATATTTATTTTTTATTTTTTAAGTTTTCCCTTTCCCCCCTTTTTCCCCCGCATTAAGTAAGAAAATTTCTTTATTGTTTTCCGGGAAAAAAAAAATTGATGTTTTAGTATTTTTCTCGTGTGTTTCGCGTACATATATATATCTTTACCCATTATTTATTTAAAAATAAATAAATGAATTTTGGTAATAAGGAAAAACAGAATCCGTGGAAAACGAAGACGGTTTTTCTTTCGTAAATAATTATTATTATTATTTTTTACGTGAAAAAATTTTCCTTTTTGGAAAAATGAATGTTTCATCCAAATTTAACTAATTTAATTTTCTTCTCTTTCCAACATAATCGATTGAATGATTTGTACGATTTGTTATCGAGGACAAAAATAAAATTATATTATGTATGATGATGATGATGATGATGATGATGAGGATCGCAATGGTACACTTAATACTATTTAATACGAAATCTATAAAAAAAAATTACAAATAAATCTTACCCAAGTTTTGCCTCGAGGAAAAAAAATTCTTTAATAAGGCAATAAATTTAAGGCATTTAAACAAGAAAAAAAAGCTTAAAGTTGAATAAAACATGGTGGAGGTCATGGAGGGAAGAGAGGGGGGAGAGAGAGAGAGAGAGAGAGAAGTGATATAGGGAGAGGTAGAAAGGTCGTGTTAAAAAAAAATTTTTTTCTTTTTTTTTTTTTTTTTTTGGAAACCTTCATTGAATTTGGTTAACATCGGGGAGTTTATAAAAATTTCGAAAGGTAGTTAGTTTTTAATTTAAGGTATAAAAAAAAAAAAAAAAAATTATTTTTCCACGTATTTGATTAGTTCTTTGAGATCGAGAAGGAGGGGTTTCGTGTATTTTCACGAATGATGATGATGATGATGATGAAGAACTCGGCGCCGAAAACCATTGTTTTCACCGCCGCCTCGTACCTGTATTTATTATCCAAATCCATTTTTTTTTTTTTTTTTTTTAAATTATAGGTCATTAAATCCGAGTCGTGGTGGAGTGAAAAAAAAAAAAATGAAAATGAATGAACAGGTGCTTCGTTTTATTTCCTGATAAGTCAAAAATTATTTTTTTATGTATTCCTTTCATTTATAAAACATTAACAAAAAAAAAAAAAAAAGGAAAAAAGGAAAACCTTAAATTTTATTAAATACGATAAAACAAAATTGAAATTTTATTAAAAATCAATAATAGATCGGTCATTGTTTTTATTTTTTTTATCAATAATCGATATTTACGCTTTGAAAAATGTCCAGTCATTTTTTTATTTTCGCACTATAACGAGAGAAAAGAAAACCCCCGGAAAAAACGGTTTACGAAGGATATTAATTGATTGTGTAATGAGAGAAAACAAAAAAAAAAATCCTCCCCCATTTTTTTTTGTAAGGTGAAAAAGGTGCGCGCGGAAAGGTAAATTGAAAATTTATCATAGAAAAGGTTTGTGTTTTCCTTTTGTTTTGACAGGTTTTAATTCAATTTTAATGGTTAAAAAAAAAAAAAAAATTGAAAAGCTATGATTTTCTTACGGTTCACGCAGTGAAATTAAATATCTATTTTGAAATGTCCAGAAGGTTTAAAAAAAAAAAAAGGAAAAAAGGAAAAAAATCTCAGCGTGATATCGAACCTCAAAATGTCGAATTATTAGTAGAATTTGAAAATTAAAGAGTCCGAATGTTTGTCTGTCTGTATGTTGTGTTCCCCTTTAAACTATTTTTTCTCTTTTTGTTTTTGTTTTTCAAGTTTTACCTACGTCAGGTAATGATGTAAATAAATAAATAAATAAATAAATAATTTGTTTTTAAATTATTAGTAGTCGGAATATTTCTTTTTCTTTCTGTACGTTTTGTTTACCTGAATTTTTTTTTTTTTTGTAAAGAAAAAAAAAAACGTTTTTTTCATTTTTTTTTTTTTTTCTATTTAAATTCTTAAAGAAAAGAAAAAAATTTTAAGGGTAGTAACAAGATTTCTAAAAAAAAAAAAAAAAACAGGAAATTACGAAAAGAGTAACGAGAAAAAAAAAAAAAAAGGAAAATTTCTTTTCTTGGTAATAATCCGTATAATCATTCTGTTGGTCGGATAATTAACTTTTCCACAAAAAAAGAAAAGTTTAAAAGAAAATATCCCGATGAATTAAACAACGGTTTAAATTTTCTCCTGGATGAAATAATAATAATAATAATTATTTGAAATTTAAAAATTTGAAAATTCTGTAACTCCCGTAAAATTGCTGGAAAATCTTATTTGAAAAATGGAAGAAAAAAGATTTTCATTATTAAACGTCGTTAATATTATTAATAACATTATGTTAATGTTAATTATTATTAGTTTATTTCGCGGTTAAAAAATAATAATAATAATATAGTAAAAATTTTAAAAAAATTCGAGTTAATAAAATAAATAATTTTATTAACTTGTTCACCCGAAATTTTCCGGTTTCGGTTTTTTTTTTCTTTTTTTTTTATCTTTAAAAAATTTTTTGGCAGTTTTCAATTAAATAAATTTTTTTAAATTTTAAAACTGTCATATTTATATGTAAAATATTATAATTATCACTGTTATTAATTGTTATAAGATGAAAAATAAAAATGGTTCCGTCATTTTTATTTTTTATATTATTATTATTATTATTATTATTATTATTATTATCTATTATTATTATCTTTAATTTAATTCTAGAAAATTTATTTAGTATTTTCATTCTCTCTCTCTCTCTCTCTTTTTCTTTCATTCTTTTTTTTTATTTTTATATTCTCTCCTCTATGAAAAATACGACGTTAATGAAAGAAATATTGCTTTTTATTATTATTATTATTATTATTATTATTATTATTATTGTTTTTCTAAAGAGGTTTCGAAAGCTTTTTGCCCTATGAAAAACAATTTGAAATTGAAGTAACAGTGGATGGATGAATGGATGGATGGATGGCAGGAAAAATTGAAATCGAAAAAAAAATTTTTGTTTTTCCTTTCTTATTCTTTTTCTTCTGCTTTTTTGTTTTTCATTTTTTAATAACAATAAAATTAAATTTTGGTTTTTTGTATTAATTGTAATTAAATTTTCGATGCATTTTAAAAAGGAAAAAAAAGACGTAAATAGGATTTATATTTTTCTCTTTTTTTTTTTTTTTTTTGCTTCTTTAAACAATAATTCTTTTTTCATTAATAATAATAATAATGTAATTTATTTTTATTTTTTGCAAAAAACAAAAAAAAAAAGGAAAAAAGTGGGAATGAAAAAAAAGTTTAAATCTTTTATTTTTGTTGCGTTTGTTCGACTTTAACTTTTTTAAACAATACAATACGTTTTTTAAAGAAATAATAATTTATATGGCGGGCGTAATGAAAAAAAAAAAGAATTCCGACGGTATCAATTCTATTCAAAGAAATTTATAAAATATTAGTTTTAAAAGTCGTTTGTATATATATATATATATTTTTAGTACGCACAAACGCACACGCACACGCATACAACGAAAGCCACACACACACACACAAACGCATATACTAATATATATTTATAAGGTGTATTTATAAATAAATTAATTTTATTTATGAATTTACAAATAATAATAATAATAATAAATATTTTAAATTTAAAAAAAATATATATTTCGATTGATTTAATATATATAAATATATATATATATAAAATCGTGAAAAAAATAATTTAAAATTATTATTAAATTTATAATTTACGATTATTTTTTTCTTTTTTGTGCGCACATTGATTTTTATTTATTTATTTAATTATTTAGTTTCAATATTTTTTTTTTTTTAATGCGGGAAAAAAAATTCCCTTCTCTCTCCCTGCCTTCCCTTCAAGTTTTTCTTTTTTCGGGGGGGAAAAAGAAAATTTATAACATATATATAGATATTTTTCTGGAAAAAAAAAAAAAAAAAAAAAAAAACTCAAATCGAAAGTCAATACTAGTCAAACATTTAGTCGTGTAAAATTTTCAATTCGAAAATAGTAGTTAAAAAAAAAAAAATGGCGTAGTTTTTACTTTTTTTTTTTTTTAAATTGACTTAAACTGCAAAAAAACAAACACATTTTTGTTTTTGAAACTTAAAAATCACAACATGCTAAACACTAAAAAAAATTTTTCTTTTTTTTTTTTATAAAAATAAAATAACTTTTTTTTTTAAAAAAAAAAAAAACTACTGAAAGACACGACGAATAACAGTAAAAAAAAAAGGAAAAAAAAGATAAAAGAAAAAAAAAATTATTTTTTTATGTATAAAAAAAAAAAAACATTACCATTATGTTAAACATCTTGAAGGGGATTTCACACCGAAACACATAACAGGGGGTTATGATAACAATAACATAAAAAAAGGGGGGGGAGAAAAAGTTTTTTGTTAAGGACAAAACAAACGGGGAGAGAGAGAAAAAAACAAAACACGGACGAAATGTTTTTATTTAATGTCATTTAATACTTTTTTTTTGTTTTTTTGTTGATAATTTTTTATTAATTTTTTTATTTTTTTTGTTATTATCGACTACTAGAATGAATAAAAATAAAAATAATAATAATAATAAATGATATAAATTTTTATTGAAAGATCTGGTCTGTCTGCCATCATTTGAAAACATATTTATTTATTTATTTATTTATTAATAAGTCATTATTAAAATACGGTGTAATAAAATTGACGTTTGATAAATGATTTTTATTATAAAATTATTTCTTTTCATATAATATTACGTAATTCAGATGCATAATCAGGAGTGCATGTCAAAAAGCAAGTTACAGTTCACCAAGGTGGTTATCAGTGGGAGGAGGTCAACAGTGCATCGATTTCGAATACGTTCATCCTGATAGGATACCAATTAATCAAATGACGACGGTAAGTCATACAGAAAACATTTCTTTTATTTTTTATTTTTTTTTTCGAAACGTAATCTTATGGGATTGTAAACCGGATATTAAAAGGGATGATTAAAAAAAAAAAAAAATCGGTTTTGTTAAAAAAAAGACAAAAAGGAAAACTAATTGATGTATAATTACAAAAACAAATAAAAGAGAAACACTATATATAACAAAAAAGTAGTTAAACATAATTAAATTTATAAAAGAGAGAGAGAGAGAGAGAGAGAGAAGGGAGAAAAAATATTATTATTTTTATTTTTATTCTTTTTACTTTTATTATTATTAATATTATTAATGTAACCATGAATTAAAAATTACATTCAAAATTCTCTGGCACAAAAAAAAAAAAAAATTATTTTCCTTTTTAATCGCGCCAGACATTAAAACTCAACAATTTTTTAAAAAGATATATTTTTTTTTTTTTTGTTTTGTTTCCCATTTAAAATTTAAAAATAATAATCTCTATATTTGAATGTTTTATGGTTTTTGAATTATTATTATTATTAGTATTATCAAGACTCTCCCCTATATTAAAAATTTTTTCGTTGAGAAAGACATCGGGATTTTGTTTCCCCTTTTAAATTTTTCTTTTTTTCAATTTTTTAAATTTAATTGATCATTGATTGATTGATTGATTGATTTTGTTCGTTTGGGCTATATTTGGGCTACGACAAAAAAAAATTTTTTTGAATTGTTTCTTTTTTTTTTCCATTTTCTAACAAACGTGAAGTCATTAGCATGCTTGAATGTAATTCGTTGGAAAGAGAATTTTTTTTTTTTTTGTTCAATGGTTAATCATTACGTTTTCTCAAAGAAAAAGAAAAATAATTCGATGATTTTTTTTTTTTTTTTTTTAATGACGACACTCGAAAGGATTTTTATGGGAGAATAATAATAATAATAACAAAGTTTTTCGGGTAATTTTACATAATGATGATGGCGGGGTCGGTGATTCGATATCGATGATAATAAAAATAATAGTATGATAATAATAATAATAATAACTCCATCCTTTTACCATTTTGATTTTACCAATGAACCAATGTTATAAATGATGGTGTTGGATTTTAACCAATGAGATCGTTTGAGTTCTTTTTTTTTTTTTTAAATTATCCTCCCCCCCTCTTCCTCCTACCACACACACACACACCATAATTTTAAATTATTTCCTTCGAGGTTGGGTCTGTTTTGTTCTTTTTTTTTTTTTTCTTAAAAAAAAAGGTGATCAAGATTTGTAACAAAAAATTATAAAACTCATTTTATTTTTTTTCTCTCTTTCTTTCTCTTTACTTAATATTAAAAAAGAATAAATAATGTTTTTTTTTTTTTTTTTTGAGTGAAAATGAAAAGAAAGAATTATTTTTTAATTTATTTAACGTAAAAAAAAAAAAATTAATAAATTTTGATTTTTATTATTATAAAAATTTTGACTAAATTTATAACTTTTATGACCTCCTGGAGGTTTCGTTTTTTTGTGAAGTGTCGTGAAGGGATAAAATGTATAAGATTTAATTACAACCACCTCCTAAAATTTTCATTACTATTTCATTATTATCATTGTCAACATTTAATCGTTTTCTTTTGCATCGTGTCCTTTCATTTCATTTTTAAACCGCCAAAAAAAAAAAGAAAAAATTGTTTTTAATAAAATTATTGAAACGCATAAATTGTGCAATGAGTAATTTTAATGAGGGGGGGGGGGAAACGACCAAATAAGAATTATTCAACATTTTTTTTCTCAAAAACCGCGGGCAATAAAACATATAGGTATTTTTTTTTTTTTTTTAAAAAAGATGGGCGTTAACAATATGAGTATAATTTGACCTTTAAAAAAAAAAAAAAAAATTAAAAGGAAAAAAATTACTTTATACTCTTTTTTCAACCGGCTTTTCGAAAAAAAAAAAATTAAATAAATCATATTGATGATGTATTTCCTTTATTGAGAATTGTTAAAGCAGGAGGGATAGGAGGTTGGATTTGTTAAAATCAATTTTTTTTTAAATAAAAATTTATATGAAGTTTATTTGTTGTAATGTTGTAGTACTGGTAGTTAAAAAAAAAAAATTTACTTAAAAAATATAATACTAATCTCTCAATTGTTTACAAGTACTTTTCCATGTACTTTAAATAAATTTTTCATAAAATATTAATAACGTTTGCAAAATAATAATCTTAAATATTAAGTAATATTACTTCTTATGTTGTAAATTAATCATTTTCCTATTTTTTATTTTATTTTTAATTGTTTTTAATTTTTATTTTCGCCAGAATAAGAAAAACGCTTACGTCATAATAAATTGAAGAAAGCGTTTTTATCAAAATCCTTTTTTTTTTTTTTTTTAAAACTTTCAGTTCATTATATATTTTTTCAAAGCTTTTTTTTTTTTTTTTGTAACAAAATTCTTTTATTTTTTTTATGGCTCCACTTTGTTTTCCTATATATAAATATATATAAAACCTTTGAGAGAAAAAAAAAAAAAAAGCTTTTAAAATTTTGATGAAAAACAAATAGAAATAAAAATTAAATGGCTCTAGTTTTGATCAGAGTCTGGATAAGAATATAAAATGACTTAAATAGTCTAAGATTTTCAATGAAGTTTTTATTGATCGTTTAAGTTCAAATCAAATAATTTTCGCTTTGGAGTAAAAAAAAAATTTTCTTTTTTTTTTTAGAAATATAATTTTTTTTATTGGATAAATATCCTTTTTTTTTTTTTTTTTCCTTTGACATAAAAACGATTGAATGCGTAATAAAAAATAAAAGAAATATATTAGAGTTTTAATGGCGTTTTTATGTTATCGGAAATAACGAAGTATGAAACGTTTAATTAATTTTTTTTTTTTTTAGGTTACTCTCGCAATTAGAACACTTCCAGAACTTCCAGCAGGGGCCAAATATAAATGCGTTTTTGGAAAATCGCATCCCATAGATGCAAATGTCACATCCACGGGCCTTATTTGTTTAACTCCCAACATAACCGAAAGGAGTTTTATACCTGAAAACATGGATCACGTTCTCGTGCCTCTTTCCGTTCGGTCTTCTGAAACTAATAAAGATTTCGTGAGCAGGAATTTTGCTTTTTACGATTGCGGACGTCACACGACTTGTAAAAAGTGCGTAACGTCACAATGGCAATGCAATTGGTGCGTGTATCAAAATCAATGCACTCATAACACCACAACCTGCCAAAGATTGGGATCCATTTCACTTGATCAACACGTGAGTACTTGTTGCCGAGATGAAAAAGACATTTTATAAAAAAATTAAAAATAATAAAAATTTTGTTTTTATTATTCAGAATTCCGCGTATACAATCACCAAAACCGTTGATCGTTGTCCAAGGTTTCGAAAAACAAACGAGACAATTTTTTTGCCAAATAAGGTTTCTAAAGAAATTGTTTTAGACGTTGAAAATCTTCCTCATCCTCAATTCGTTCACGTGGGATTTCTCTGTATTATTAACATTGAAGGTGCTAAAATGATGGTTCCGGCCAGAGTCGAAAAGAATCGATTTGTCATTTGTGATAAGACAGTGGTAAGAATTTAATTTAATTTAAGTCATATACTAATTGATACATACCTCTTTGTATTTATACTTATCTATAAGTGTTTTTTTTTACCTAATTAAGAAATTTCTGTGAATGTTTTTTATTGTAGTACTCTTACGAAGCCAAAATGGGGGAATATAAAGCAAATGTAACCGTAGTTTGGAATAAAAACCATCATGTAGATACCACTTCAGTAACTTTGTACAAATGTAACATTCTCGGGTCGCACAGGGATCACCCAGATTGTAGCCTTTGTGCTTCAAGTCATTCACAGTATAATTGTACTTGGTGCGGAACCAGTTGCACGTATAAAGATTCTTGTCAACATTCATCTTTTGTTGAATGTCCAAAGCCCAGAATCGATATGGTAAAACCATTAAATGGTCCCGTTGAGGGAGGAACTTTGGTTACTATAGAAGGCAGCAATTTGGGTCTTAAAAGCGAAGATGTCAAAGAAAAAATTAGAATCGGTAACACGACATGTCATCTAGTTGATTATGAAATTTCCGTACGTATCGTCTGTCGTACCGGTCCTTCTCTCGTTGGAGAAAGCATCGTTCCTATCACGGTTGGAAACAAAGCCGGCTTTACAGAATCTTCCGTCCGTTTCAGTTATAAGGTAAACATCCATCGTATTTGAATCACTTATTTGAATCGTCGTTTTTTTATCGAGTAATTTTTCAATTTTGCAGGATATAAAATTAGAAAGGAGTTTATCCGGCGATGGGACCTCAGAGCGGAGGAACTCAATTAGCAATAACTGGTAAAAATTTAAACATAGGCAGTACCATCACAGCATCTTTAGATGACTTCCTTGTTTAATTAACTCCACTCAAGCATCCAGTACAAGATTAACTTGCATCACTTCAAAGTAAGATTCATCATTAAACAAAATTTTTCATAGGATTTTCAATTTTAAATTTAATTAATTTAATTTTTTTTTTTTTTTTTTTAGGGCTGCTTCTCCTCGTGTCATCAGAAAACTAACACTGTTCGTCGATGGCGCCAACAGAACATTCGACAAATATCCTTTTAATTATACATTAGACCCGACAATTTTGGAAATAAAACCTTTGAAAAGTTTTGCATCGGGAGGAAGAATGATAACCATTCACGGAACAAATTTACACGCAATACAAAAACCTGAAATGACCGTGCATTTAGATCATGAATTAAATCCAATAAACAAATCAGTAAGTTTCGATCAAAATTTATTAAAATTTAAGAAAATTAAACTTTTACAATCGTATACATGGCGATTTTTATATTTATTTTTAGATTTGTACTGTTATAAGTTCGGCTCAAATGGAATGCCCTTCCCCCTCAATAGATCTCACACTCTTGGCAAAAAATTTTAATCGTTCCAAAGCAGAACGTGAAAATGTTCCTAAATGGGGACGATCGCTCGTTAAATTTCATATGACTCAAATACCTCTTCAAATTGGATTCATAATGGATAACGTTGACTCCATAAAGGATTTGGAAAAATATTTCCCGAATTTAAGATCTCAACTTTTATACGTCACCGACCCGAAATTTTTTGAATTTCCCAATACTATAAAATCTTACAAGGGAGACACTTTGGTCATTGAGGTTCGTGAAATACTAATAACGATAACTAATTAATTAAAACAGTCAAAATAAAAGAAATTTTCTTTTTTTTTTAGGGTGAAAATCTCAATTTAGCAAGCGATGAAACCGATGTTAATGTTACGATAGGCATGGCGTCTTGTAATGTTACTTCTTTGGCACTAACTCAACTGGTGTGTACACCACCAGAAATACAACCTGAACCTACCGACGAATATGGATTTAAAACCTCCACAAGCCTTCCGTTGGTTGTCGTCAGAGTGGGTAAAATATTAAGGTAAGTGTTGATATTATCTTTAAAAAAAATATTTAGCAATAATTATTCATTAGAAAAATTTTACGAATTGCGAATAATGTTGATTGTTTTTAGCGTGTAATTAAATCAATTAAAATTTGAATCCACAAGTTTTAATTTTATTTTACAGATTTCCGGTGGGTTACCTTCAATATGAAGTAATGAAACCCTATTCTTTCTCACCTGAAGCAATAGCAGGTATAGTTGTTGGTACGTGCTTTGTCGTGTTTTTATTCTTAATCATCCTTGTCATTTATCGTCGTAAATCAACTCAAGCCGAAAGGGAATATAAAAGAATTCAAATACAAATGGATACCCTTGAAAGCAACGTTCGTTCCGAATGCAAATTAGGTGAGGTGGCAATTTCCTTATTTTTTAAAAACCTGAATCGAATTTATTAAAAAAGTAACATTTATTATTACCATAAATAATAATAATAATAATAATAATAATAATAATAATAAAGAGTTTAATAACTTTTATTTCGATGTTTAAAATATTACCATTAAAAAAATAACAAACAAAATTTTAATTTTAAATGAGTTCAATTATTTTCTTCAACGAGGAGTAACCTTGAATAATTTAAGTGAATAAAAAAGAAAAAAAAATTTCTCATTTTTGTACTGTTTTGAATATTTAAAAAAATTTATTAATTAAAACTCATTCGCATTTATTTTATAAATAGCATTCGCCGAACTTCAAACCGACATAACAGATTTAACGGCGGATTTAGAGTCAACAGGAATACCAACTTTAGATCACAAAAGTTACGTGATGAAAGTTTTTTTCCCCGGAGTGAGCGATCATCCGATTTTGAACGATCCGAAACCGCGGTCGAATTGCCTACGTACGAATTACGATGCCGCCATGTTTCAATTCGAACAACTCATAAACAATAAAAATTTTATTTTAGTATTCATCGAAACTTTGGAAAATCAAAAAACTTTTAACATAAGAGACAAGTAATCATTTAATTTTTGTATTGTTTGTTTTTTAATCGAATACGATTAAATTTAAAATGTGATTTTAGGGTTAGCGTTGCATCGTTGGTAATGGTGGTGCTCATGAGTAAAATGGAGTACGCGACAGACGTTCTTCGTAGTTTGCTTTTTAAACTTATTGATAAATCCGTGGGAACGAAATACCCTCAACTTATGTTAAGAAGAACGGAATCCGTAGTTGAAAAAATGCTTACGAATTGGATGGCACTTTGCATGTATAATTATTTAAAAGATTATGCCGGTTCATCTTTGTTCTTATTGTACAAAGTAAGTTCCTTCAGTTCGGGACAGTTAAATTACACGTATGTGTGTAACGATTATTATAATTAATTTAACTTGTTATTATTTTCTAGGCTATAAAACATCAGGTTGAAAAAGGACCCGTGGATGCCATAACTCACGATGCAAGGTATTCATTATCCGAAGAACGTCTTTTAAGGGAACAAATCGATCATAACATTATTGTAAGATTCCTGCCTTTCCTTTTTTTTTACTAGATTTCGTTTAAAAAAGGTTGCTTACGTCATAATTTTTTTTTGTTTTCTTCAACAGACAATTCATCTCATTCAAGAAGATTTACATTACGAAAAAATTCCTTATCAAACTTATCAAGTACGTTTACCAAATATATAAGTTTTATTGTAAATTATCATTTATTTTAATAAATTTGTTTTTTTTTTTTTTTTTTTAATAGACTGGTCATTTAGTACAAGATGCGGCTTTGGAAGCAAAACTTCAATGCAAAGTTCTCGACTGTGATACAATTAGTCAAGTGAAATCGAAAATTTTCGATGCTCTATATAAAAATACTCATTTTTCAATGAGACCCTCCATACAGGAAGTCGATCTCGGTAATGTTTACCTTTTCAAATATTTTGTTTTTAAAAAAAGGAAAAAAAATTAATGAAAAATTGTCTGGGTTTTTTTGTTTTAGAATGGAGACACGGTCGAGGAGGTCATTTAATACTTCAGGATGAAGATCTCACGACGAAATCAACGGGAACGCGAAAAAAATTAAATACTTTAGCTCATTATGGGATAAAAGATTCGGCCATCATGTCTCTCATACCAAGACAACAGGAAACTTACTGCACTCAATCTTATCGTAAAAATAAATTTTTTTTTTTTCTTTGACGTCATCACATCATCACGCTTCCGGTATCCGTAAAAATAATTATTGTTTTATTTTCAGGTTTTAAAAATTACATAACGACATCATCGAATCCACCAATAATTTTATCAAATGGGATTTTAGAAGAAGATTCCAATTCGAAATTTTATCATTTGGTCAAACCAATCGACGAAAATCAATTTTTAAATAAAATGGGGCCCACTGATAGAACGCACAAAGCCATACCTGAAATTTTTCTAACGAGGTAAAATTAAAGGAAGGAAAATTGTTTTCCGGGTCAATCCTTATTATTCAACCCTTTTTGTTTTTTTTTTTTTTTTTTTTTTAGACTTTTATCGACGAAAGGAACGATACAAAAATACGTCGATGATTTTTTCACGACTATTTTATCGGCGGATGAGGGTCTTCCCCCTGCAATAAAATGGTTGTTTGATTTGTTGGATGATGCTGCCAAAAGGCATTCGATCGTCGATCCGGAAGTTCTTCACGCGTGGAAATCAAATAGGTTAAAATTTATTTTTTAAGATTTTTCTTTCGTCTCGCATATTTTCATCGAATGAAAAAAGTTCAATTTTTTTTTTTAGTCTCCCACTGAGGTTTTGGGTAAATTTTATAAAAAATCCAGATTTTATTTTCGACATAAACAAAACGGCAACCGTGGATTCGTGCCTTTCAGTCATTGCGCAAACTTTTATGGATGCTTGTTCGACGACGGAACATCGTTTGGGAAAAGATTCACCATCTAATAAACTTCTTTTTGCTAAGGTTTGCTCATCGAAACTAGATGAAAATTATTTTCTTTAAAGATATTAGAAAAAAATAATGTTTTTGTAACCGACAGGATATACCGCAGTATCGCGACATGGTGACACGTTTTTATTCAAACATTCGTACATCCCCTCAAATAACGGATCAGGAAATGAGTACGGTCATGCAACAACTATCGACGTCACAAACTGAAGAATTCGATATAATAGCAGCTTTAAAAGAATTATACATTTACGTGAGTCGATACAACGGTCAAATAATTCAAGCTTTAGAAACGGATCCGATTTGCAAAAAGATGCATTTGGCCCACAAATTAGAAAATGTCGCTTGCACTTTAGAAGGAGAAGAGACGTCAACTTGCTGACGACGAGAGTCGCCTGATCTCCTTATGGCCAGCCATATTTGAGACGGTTAAAATTATTATTATTAATTATTATTATTACATTTAATAAAAAATTAATTTTATAAAATCTCATATGACTCGGGATCAGGTGACTATGAATGACAAAATTATTAGATAAATGAATTTTTTTAAAAATATTAATTAACGAAAAGAGACCATTTATTTATGTAAAAAAAAAAAAAAAATGGTAGTGTTTTGAATGGTGATATATGTGTTAAAAAAATATATATATATATATATATATATATATATATAATAAAAACTAAATAATAATAATAATGATAGGACTATTAAATTAAATGTCTAATTAATTCTGACCAATAATTAAAATGTTTTAGTTATATATATATAAATAGTATCAACAAAAAAAACAAATTAATTTTTATAAAAATTGTTTTGAAAATTAAAAAAAATAAAAAATTTTATTATATATATATATATATATATATATAGTTCCTAAAAATTAATTAAAAATCGAATATTAGTATAATACCTGAAATTATTTTTTACGTGTGTGTCTTAATAAAAGAAAACGATATTAATACAAAAAAATTTTTTATTAAATAAATGACAAACAAACAAATTAGTAAATTAATTTTTTTATAATAAAAATTAAAACCAAAATGGTTGTTGTCGAGCACAAATTTTTTAAAAAATTCATACAAAAATTTAATTTGTTTAAATTTTAACTCGTCTGTTTGTTTATAATTTTTTTTTTTTATTATTATAAAAATTTATTTTGGCTCAATTAATAAAAAGACTGTCATGAAGTCATTTCTCTCTCGCTCTCTCTTTAATTTTTTTTTTAAATAAATTATTATTATTATTTGAAATTATTTCTATTGCCAAAATATAACAAAAATAAAAAATTTTTTCTTGCCTTTTATTATATTGTTGAAAAATAATTTTTTTATATATATATATATAATAATAATTTTTCTACTACTTTAATGAATCGACATTTTCTTTTTTTTTATTTACATAAGTACTATTAATAAATACATAAATACAGTTTTTAAATTCACGAAATAAATAAATAAAATTATTATAAAAATTGTACAAATAAAATAAATATTTAAATTATATAATAATAATAATATCCGCGTATTTTTTTCTTTTTTTTTTTAAACATAAAACATCGAATTAATAATAATAAAAAAACATATAATTATTATTATTATTATTAAAAAACCGGAAATTAATAATGTATAAGATAATAATAATAATATTGTTTTTTTTTAAATCCACGTGACGGGAGGAAAAAGTAAACAAATAAACAAACAAACTAGTTAAAAAAAAATTTTTTAATAATATAATATGGTAATAAATAAATAAATAATTTTATGTATATTATAATAAATAAATAGAATGAAAAAAATAGTTATTTGTAATTGTCTAGTTATATGTATAATGAATGCAATAATTGACTGTTTATATATATATATAAATCAATCTTTTAATATGAATTAAATATATATTTTTAAAAGTTTGAATGACATTTTTTTTTCTTTATTATTATTATTATTAATGTTAATTACATTTATCGTTGCCTTTTCATTTATTATTATTATTATTATTATTCAATTTTTTAACACAAAATTCTGGATTTTTTTTTTTTTTTTGTTCTTTATGTTATTGTTCGTTTGTTAACAGGACTGTGTCATGGTTTTTTTTTTTTTTATAACGTGCTTGTCACGCATTTATATATATTAAAAAAAGGAAACCATGTTTAGAATTTTAAGTGCATTTAAATAATAATAATAATAATAGTAATAATAATAATGTTTATTAGGAAAATTATTAGAGGTGAATACAAAAAAAACAAAACAAATTCGTTGTTATTATTATTATTATTAAAAATATGTATTTGTACTTATTTGAAAAAAACATTTTGTATTAAATATATATAAAATAATTAAAGTGCAATAAAAGAAATAATAATAATAATAATAATAATAAATTTATTGTTTTGATTTATATTTTATATATAAATTATAATTTTCATTAAAAATCGAATATAACATTTTATACAATGAATGATAATAGTTTAAAACATAAACATAAAAAACATATTTTGTTAACTCTGGTGATTGTTTTAAGAGGAAAACATAAACATATTTTCTTACATAAATAGTAGTAAAAAAAAAAAAAATTTTTTTTTTTATCTTAAACAATATGTTATTATTATTATTATTATTAATG